GGGGAACTTTCTCTTAAAAATCTTAATCATTAGTGACGAACGCTGACTTTGGGCCATATTGAGGGGAAATTTCCCCCAAATCTCAATCGTTAACGACAAACTCCAAGTTAGCGATGGACTTGATGTCCATCACTAACTTTAGGCCATTTTGGGAGGAAATTTTAGGGGGAAATTTCCTCTCAAAATCTCAATCATTAGCGATGGATTTGGATTCTGTCATTACCTAGAGATGGACTCGGCGTCCATCGCTAATTAGTAATGGATTTCATATGCATCGCTAATTTTTTAATTTAGTGACCACAAGGCCATTGTTGATTTTGGTACTTTTTTTCCACCTTATTTAGCAATAGATTTTTAACCGTCATTAATTATCCCTCGTTAGTTCATCGCTAATCCATCACAAAATGCAACCTTTTATATTCCGTCGCTAATCCATCGCTAATGTGTTGCTAAATAGTGATAATTGGTATTTTTCTAGTAATGAACCTTTGAATCATGTCTTAACACTCCCCTTGATTCAAAGTTGCACATACCAAGCAAACCTCAAAAGTAGCGGAACTTCTTTTTGATAAAGCCTTCATAAATATGTCCGCTAACCGCTCATCGATGCTACAATATTTCAAGGCTATCTTTTCCTCTACGACAAGGTCACGAATGAAATGGTGATGTAGCTCGATATGCTTTGTTCTGCTTTGAAATGTTGGATTCTTTGTCATAGAGATTGTTGTTTTATTATCAAAAAATATCTTTGTTAGTCCTTCTTGTTCTCGTTGAAGTTCAGCCAACACTCCCTTAGCCAAATGGCTTAACAAGCTACTAAAGTTATTGCCACATACTCGGCTCCCGAGGTCGACAATGCCATTGTTGCTTGCTTCTTTAAGCTCCAAGTGATCACTCCCGATCCTAAAGTGAAAACATTAGCCGAAATGCTTCATCTATTATCCAACAAACTCGCCCAATCACTATCTATGAATCCACATAATCCGAAATTGAAAGCTTTAGAGTATCAAATTCCATACTCGTATAGTTTCGGGAATATAATGCAAGACTCGCTTTGTTGCTCCATAATGAACCTTTGAAGGTTGTTGCATAAACCTAGAAATAACACTAGTAGGAAATGCAATATCGAGTCGAGTGTGTGTTAAATAAATCAAGCCTCTAACTAAGCTTCTAAACCTCTTAGCATCTATCCTTTCCGTTCCATCTTTATGCTATAATTTTTCATTAATATTCATAAGTGTAGCTATAAGTTTGCATTTAAGCATGGCAAATTTACCGAGGAGGTCCCCGGAAAATTTCCTTAGTGAAATAAAAATTCCATCTTCGACTTAATGGACTCAATCCGAGGAAATAATGCAATAAACCCATATTCGACATCTCAAATTCATTCATCATTTAAAACTTAAACTCATCCATAAGAGAACTAAAAGGACTAGTGTAAATGATATCATCAACATAAAGACAAACAATGATGAAATCATTTTTACCTTCCTTTTTCACATACAAGGTGGGCTCGTTCTCACTTCTCATGTATTTTTTTTTTCGAAAATACCCATCGATCTTGCTATACCAAGCTCATAGAGCCTACTTCAATCCATACAATGCCTTTTTCAACTTGAACACCTTTGTTTCGTCGCCCTTCTTTATGAAACCTTCTAGTTGCATTACATAAACCTCTTTTTATAAATCTCCATTGAGGAATGCCAACTTGACATCAAATTGATAAACGAGGCCATTGCAATTGTGTAGGCAATGCTAGAACAAGCCTCACTCGTTTCAAACTAAGCTACCGGAGAAAAGGCTTCTTTGAAATCAACACCATATTGCTATCCATATCCTTTCACAAAAGATGAGCTTTATGCTTTTGTATGCTTCCATATGTAGCAAATTTCATCTTAAACACCCACTTCAAACCAATTGCATTTTTTCCTTCCAATAAGTCAACCATATCCCATGTTTTATTCTTTTCGATAGCTTTCATTTATTCAACCATCGCTTTCCGCCACTTTTCTATTTCAACTGCTTCTCCATAATTTATAGGGTCCGAAACAAGAAGAGCAAACTAACATGATGCATATACATCAACCAAAGATCCATACTTCCTTAGTGGTGTCTCATCCGAAGACTCTTTAAGAGTTGTGGATGAAGAGTTTCTACTTGATGTTACCGAAGTTGATGAACTTGCCGATGCCATAGAGGAACCAGTGGATGAACTTGTAGGATTTGGTCGTTGTCTTTCATTTAAAGAGATTTCAACGGGCATAGGAATCTTTTGTTGCACTCGTTCTTCATCCTAATCCCAACTTGGATTTTCATTAAATACTACATCCCTTTTAATTGAAATCTTTCCACCGAAAGGGTTATACGATCTATATGCTTTGGATTGAGTACAATAACCAATAAAAATACATTTTTTAGATTTTTTATCTAGGTTTTGACGAATTTGAGAATTTATCGAAGCATAAGCAACACACATAAAAACTCATAAATGACTTACGGATGGTCTCCTTCCATGTTAAGCTTCATATGGATTTCATGATAGCCCTTGTTGGTTAAAGATTCATAAATAAACAAATGTTTCAGCAACTTCCGGCCAAAATTGGTTTGAAAGTCCCCTTGCTTGTAACATGCTTCTTGCCATCTCCACAATGATTCAATTTTTCTACTCGGCGACACTATTTTGCTCCAGTCGTCTAAGGAGTTGTTAACTCCTTATGGATGCCATTTTCTTTGTAAAACAAATTAAATTTTTTGGATAGGAATTATCCACTCGTATCTATGTGAAAAACTTTGACATGGGTGCCATTTTGTTTTTCTCGCCATAGCCTTAAATTTTTAGAACTTCTCAAAATTTTCTAACTTGCTTTCTAGAAAATAAACCTAGCTCATACGACTATAATCATAAGTAAATAGAAAAAAATAACAACTCCCATCCAAGGACTCGGCTTGCATAGGCCCACATAAATTAGCATGAATTAATTCTTGACATTTTGAAGCTTTCCAAGCTTTTCCAACAGAAATGACTTCCTAGTTTGTTTTCCATCAATACACCCTTCATATAAATCAATAGAGCCAATTTTTGGTAACCCATGAATCATACCTTTATCATTTAGCAAATTTAAGCCCTTAATGTTGAGATGCCCATGCCTCGGATGCCATAACTTCGAGTCATCCTTTACACTTACAAGAAGAGCAAAATTCTCCATGTTAGAAACATCCAACGAAAACACCTTGTTTGAAGTCATGCTAATATGAACCTTTTGGCCTAATTTCTTATTTTTAATAACACGTGCATTGTCATCAAATAAAACAGAATAACCACTAGCCATCAATTATCCAACGCTCAATAAATTATATCCTAGATCCGGTACAAATTGAATGTTATCCAATGCTTTTACTTTGCCATGGTTAAAGTTAACTCCTACCGTGCTTTTTTCCTTCAACTTGCATCTCCTTTTTGTTGCCAAGCTGCATCTTTATCCTTTGTATCTCATCAAGTTCATGGAACAAAGATTTGATGCCCGTCATATGGTTCGAACACTATAAACCACAAATCACTTAGTTTATGGTTAGGATCAATACAAGCCACAAAAGCTTGTTTTCTTCTTCATTTTCTCGCTGCAAAATTCATCTTCTGATCTTTGTACCAACAATCAGCTTTTATATACCCATATCTTTTGCAACAATAACATTGAATGCCACTCTTCATGATTCCCTTCTCATTGGACTACTTTTTCCCTTTATTCCTTCCTTTGCCATTACCACGACCACGACCACGATTGCAAGATCCTCATCTTCCTTGACCTTTGTTTGCTGAAAAGTCACTTTCTCTTTGTTTAATGGTTGTCTCCTTCACTTGAAATGCCTTCTCTTTGTTCTTTTCAAGCGATCTATTGATTCTTCACTCATGAGCTTGAAGAGATCCCATTAGTTCACCAACGTAAAGAACCGACAAATCCTTAGCTTCTTTTATAGCAGCGACCACATGGTCAAATTTTGGAGTCATGCTTCTCAATACTTTTGCAATGATCGTCTCATCCAAAATTTGCTCACCATAGAAGCACATTTAACTAATTATTGCCATTGCTCTTGAAAAAAAATCAGCAATTGATTCACCATTCTTTATAATCAAAGTTTCAAAGTCACATATTAGTGATTGCAATCTCACCACTATGACCTTTGAACCACCTTGGAACTCCTTCTATAGAATTGACCATGCTTGATTTGATGTGGTTGCCGCTGCAATCCATGAGAAAATAGTCTCATGGACTACTTGCTAGAGAATGAACGATGCTTTGGCATCCCTCTTCTTGGTTTCTTTTAGCCTTTCCTCCTCTTCTTCATTGGATTCTAACATATCAACGAACCCATACTCCACCAAGTCTCACAACTCTTGCAATCCGAGCAATGTCTTCCCCTTGATGCTCCGCCACTCATACTTCTCACCATTGAAAATTAGTATGAGTGGTTGAGAGGAAGGAAACCCACTGCTACCATTGATCTCTCGTATATCACTCTTTAAACTCAAAAAGAGCATTGTCTCTTGTGTTTCTCTCAAATACCCAATAAACCCAAGTGTTTCACTCTTTTGTCGAAAAGACCAAAGTCTACTTTGATACCAAATTTGTTGAGAAAAGGTAAAGAGAAAGAGACAATACAAACAAATAGAAATAAAGCTTTGGCAGTATACTTAATTACTTCATGGCAAATGAAATTAAAAACAACGTAAAGTGCTTATATATATAGGCCTACATCAAAACAAATCACTCTATCACTAACAAAGGTCCACTATGACCACTAGCATATTATTAGCAATGATACCCACTACATAATTGACTAAAACAAACATATAATTCTCGAAAGCTACTAACAACCTATGACCCCAAAACTTGGTCTAACCAAAAAAACCAATCAACCTTTGAATCACGTCTCAACAAATATATGTGTGGATGTTCTGCTCAACTTGACATCAACCCAAGAAGTCCTTTGTCACAATCAAAATGAAAAATGCCTTGACGAATTATTGGACAGATCTGTGAGGCTTTTAGATGTTTGCAGCATTGCAAGGGACATCTTGTTGAGGTTCAAGGAACAAGTTCAAGCTCTTCAATCCACACTCTGCAGGAGAAAGGGAGATTCAAGCATAGAAAGCAGTGTAGCTACTTTTACTTGCGTCAGGAAGAAGATGAAAAGGAATGCCAAAATGTTGATTGCTTCACTGAAGCAAATGGATAACAAACTTGTGGCATCTCCGCTTTTGGATCAAGGTCACCAACTCTCGGCTGTGATTCGGATGATTAGAGAAGTTGATGTAATGAACTGTTCTATTTTCCAATCCCTCCTTTTATTCTTGTTGACTTCATCAAAGCCTAAACAAAGCAGGTGGTCCCTTGTTTCAAAATTGATGCACAAGGGAATAATAGCTTGTGAAGAAAAGCAAGAAAATCGGAATGAGTTGGAAACTGTTGATGCGGCACTAAGTGAAGTGTCTGATTCGGAGAAGAAGAAAACTGCGCATAAGAAACTTGAGGCTTCGATGATCAGCATTGAAGATGTCGAGAATTTTCTGGAGCGTTTGTTCAGGCCCTCGATTAAAACAGGAGCCTCTCTTTTTAACATAATCTCCCAATAGAGCTTTATCAAACATCTATAGGCCTCCGAATTTTAGAGGATCTGCTAGAGGATTTAGTATTCAAATGAAAAGCTATATACGTACATGAATCAAATTTTGTAACTAATACAGTGAAATACACACAAGTTTTATGATCCATATCTTGATGATCTCTTTTCCTTTCTTGCTTTTCTCCTTTGACCGAAAGAAGGGTCGGGAAAAATTAACATTCTACTGAAAGATGCTTTCGCTGGATATCTAAATACATTACTTTACTGTTAATTAATTGATCATAAATATTTCTAGACAAAGAAACTTTCGAGTAAGAAAATGCAATTATAATTATCTGAGATAGAATTTGCAAAACCACGGAAGACAATATCTGCTTCCGGAATTCTTTCACAATAAGTTTTACCCCTGCTCCAACCCCCTTGCAGTCTTCTGTCGTTCTGCTAAACTGATTTGACCTTGTTTCCATTTTCAAAAATCTTTTAATCTAAGCTAAGTCTTTTAATCCATTTCTAAATATAAAAATCTTAGTATTTTAAATTTTTAATCTTGGATTATAGGGTAGTAGAATCTTCATTAGCAATTAATTTCCTGAAAATTGTAGCTCAGTGCCTGTGCTACCTGGACAAAGGAGATGCAAATATAAGGAGCCAAAAAAAAAAAAAAAAAAAGGGTTCTTCGTCATTACACTTTGTGTCGTGAATCGTGTTTCTTGTATCAAAACTATGTAATAATCCTGGGTGTGAACCTCCACATATTATGTGTTTAAATCTCAATAATACCAAACCTGCTGCTGCATTCTTGCGCTTCTTTTGCCTTCTTTTTCAAGTTACAAAGTACTTCATTTTATAAAAAATAAAAAATAAAAAATTTACACAAATTTAGTGTCCTCCTTGGCTCCATCTGTCAAAGAAGAAGCCGGCAAGAGAGAATATTAACCAGGGAAATAATTCACAACAGTTTGAAGTTAAATGTTTCTTGGTTCATTACCCTTCACTGGAACATATGATTCATGGATTCGATGAGGTATTGCATCTGGTCAATTTTTAGCCTCTTTCTTTAAACAGTCGCTTCAAGCCTTCAACACTCAATCACATTAGATAGTCGTTTCAGAAATGTAGAACCAATGGCTGGGACTTTAGGACACTATTTCTACATCCCAGTTAGTAGAGTTTTTCACATGAAAAAAGGGCTTTTCAATGTGAAAATAGCAGCTTGGAATTGCAGAAAATCATACACTGTCAAATTAACCAATGCAATCCACCTTGTGTCCAATAAACCCTGATTTATGATTTTCAAAACCTAATTAGAACGTTTTGTTAATATGACATGTTACGGAAGCCATCTGCATGAAGTTCTGCACGTGTTGGCTAATGGGAATTATGTAGAAATTAGGCATTAGCATCTGAGAGACACCTTCCCTGGAGTGGGCCGCAGATTAGGCAAATGTTTGCTTCTTTTTTTTTTTTTTTTTTTTTTTTTCCCCTCTCTGTCTCTGTTTTGTTTCTTAAGCACCAAAAAAGAGTAATGATACCTTCAACCAGCTGTACTACAAAGACCATCACATATGGTTTTCATTACTTAAATGCAATTTGGAGCTAACATCAATATTTTTTCCCTAATTGATCCTTAAATACAAGCCTAGATTCGTGGCCTACTGTATATACACTCGTATCGTCATGAAGGATGATTCTAGCAATTTTATCGAACACCGAACTATTCAATGAATAGGACTTAATTGTGGTTGCACTTGAGACTTCAGAACATGATACTAACAATGACAGGGGAGGCAAGGAGGCAAACTGCACTAATGCCCTGTAACCTGTATTCTCCGATTAAATATTTGCGGCAATACCATAGTACACGTTAGATTCTGATATTCACGAAAGCAGGATTAAAGAAATAATTAGGTTCTGGAAACTGTTGGATAAAATGGTACAAGAGAAATAAAAGGCAGGGAAAATCACATGCATATTCTTTGTACATAAAACACCATATTTTCTTGATTAAGTTCAGTTGATAAAGGAGTTGAATGGAAGGCTAATCTACAAGTCCATCAGAATGATCCTCTGTGCATATTCTGCTAACCTACATGTCCTTTCGTTTACATTCCTATTGAGACCATGAGTTAGGTCCTGCTCTGGTAGGATCCACCTCATACCTGTGTATCTGACAGGCACCACTTGTGCCTAATTACCACATTCTGAATCCTACAGCAATCAATACCACATTTTTAACATCCAGAAAAGTGTTATCAGGGAAACATGTGGCGATACCTCCTTTGCCAATACGTACGATTGGTAGGAGAATAACGCAAGAGATTTAACAATACTGCATTTTTTTTCGCAATGTAGTTTAACAAAAGGCATCTGCATATAAAAATGGAGACAAAGCGAATACAAACCACTCGTGCGAACCATTTGATAGTGACCTGAGCTTTATTTTATAATAACTGTCTTGAAATTGTAATCATGGTCTATATAATTCCTGTATCGTGACATTTTTCTTGATCTTAACAGATCTAGATCTTGATTTGTTTAATGAATTTTTCAGTTCAAGGTGCCTTTGATTGAGACAAATCAGACAGACCATATTTTTGAAAATGCAGAAGCTACATTTTAATACTTGTAATGAAGTGGGTAATGTGGCAGGAGGGAGGCAAAACTGCTGATGACTCTTGTTGTTGTATTGATAACAAACACAGAAATGACAAGATAACAAGACACCTCGCACCCATGACATGACCTTCGAGGACTTAAAAACAGCATATTATTGGAACTATGTTGGGAAAAGATGTGACAGGGTAGCCGAATTCAAAGGAGAGCCCACACTTACCTCACATGCTCACCACATTGACCCTGCACAATGCTATCTCCTTTCATCATCCTCTTGTGTTCCTATATAAGGAGAACAAAATCATTAGCTAAGCATCTCTGGTTCAAACCATCTCTGTAAACAAAACATCCTGTGAAAAAAAAAAAAAAAAACAGATAAAAGCATTCATGGCTAGTAAGTACCATGTTAGATCAATTAGCTTGCCTTCAAGATCACATCCTACCACACTTAAAATTGAAGAAGAGCTGACCAAGTTCAAAACATGGGAGGCGTCATCAACATCAAAATCAGGGTCAATTTGCAATGGCCTATCAGGACTAGAGGACTTGTACAGATGTGTGGATGATTTACTCAACTTGGCATCAACCCAGGAGGTCCTCTCTCGCCATCAAAATGAAAAATGTCTGGACGAATTATTGGACGGATCTGTGAAGCTCTTAGATGTTTGCAGCATTGCAAGGGACATCTTGTTGAGGTTTAAGGAACAAGTTCAAGCTCTTCAATCCGCACTCCGCCGTAGAAAGGGAGATTCAAGCATAGAAAGCAGCGTAGCTACTTTTACTTGTTTCAGGAAGAAGATGAAAAAGGATGCCAAAAAATTGATTGTTTTATTGAAGAAAATGGATAATAAACTAGGGGCATCCCCACTTCTAGATCAAGATCACCTCCTCTCCGCTGTAACACGGGTGATTAGAGAAGTTAATGTAACGAACTGTTCTATCTTTCAATCCCTTCTGGTGTTCTTGTCAACATCATCAAAGGCAAAACAAAGCAGGTGGTCCCTTGTTTCAAAGTTGATGCACAAGGGAGTAATAGACTGTGAAGAGAAGCAAGAAAATGAAAATGAATTAGAAACTGTTGATGCTGCACTAAGTCAAGTGTCTGATGTCGAGAAGATGCAAATTACACAGAAAAGACTTGAGGCTTTGGAGATGAGCATTGAAGACCTAGAGAATTGTATGGAACGTGTGTTCAGGCCCTTGATTAAGTCAAGAGCTTCTCTTTTGAACATAATCTCCCAATAGATAATTTTCAAACATTGATATAATCCTGGCATCAAAATTTTAGGGGATATGCTATGGGATTCAATATTCAAATCAAAATCAATGTACATGAAGCAAATTTTGTAATTAATACAGTGAAATACATACAAGTTTTTCTATTCATATTGTGATGAATTATTTCCATTTTCATTTCTTTCCTTTCTTCTATGCTTAAAGATCCTAATGCAAGACATCTAAACATGTAACTACACATGTTAAGTTGTCCTAAGTAGGACTCAGAATGATGGTCACAGATAGAGAAAAACCAAGTGAAAAAAAAAATAATAATAATTATCTCATCCAGAGTTAGTAAAAAAAAAAAAACTTGGAGAATATCTATTTCCTGAATTCTTTTACAATATTGTTTACCATAGCTGTAATCTGGCTTCAGTCTGCTATCATTCTGCAAAATTCATTTGTTTTTACAAGCTCTGAATCATTTGCTAAACTTAAAGTTTTATTTAATTTTTTTAAAATCTTGGAATCCAGGGAAAGAAGCTTCATTGGCAGCTAATTTTCTGAAAAATTATAGCTCTAAATACAATAGACTATTACTACACATACAGACCGCAGGATAAAACAAAAGTTACAAGGCCAAGGACTAAGGACTTAATTAAATGGTTGATTATTATGTCTTATTAGTGAAATACTAAAATATTACTTGTATTTAAACTATGTGCTAATAAATATTTAATCACGGTTATGTATCTTCACATAATGTGAGTTTAAAATTATCGATGAGATAAAGGTGATGATGCATTCTTACTTTTCTTTAATCTTTTGCCTTTCTTTTTCAAATGCCAATGCAACTTTTTTTTGTTCAGAATTGTAGTTTGATATATCATCCTCCATGTGTCGTGGACGAAGCCAGCATGCGAGAATATGAGCCAGGGATTTAATATTATAAGAAAACATTTCTGCAAAAGTTGACCTAAGAAGTTCAATGTTTTTCTGTTGATTGTCCAGTACTCCAACATATGGTTCATGGTTCGATAAGATATCCCGTATCTCTGAATTTTAACCTCAAGAATCAATCTCGTTAGCTAGTACTGATTTCACAAGTGCATGAACAATGACCAGGATACTATCTTTTTCATCCAGAAATATTGCAAATTTATTAAATGTGATGTAGAC